GGGGGCGGCTTTAAGCTGAAATGCACTCGATAAATAATAACACGTAGACTTGTCGGGGTTTTACGCGACGTGCGTCGGGATATTTATTTAGTCGTAGGTAAATTGGTACTAACACAATACAAAGAAATTAAAGCTAGGGAGAGCGGATTGGAAGCTCTTTGGACTGGAAGTCCGGAGGAAGAGGGAGAGAAAAGGAGAGCGTACGGGATCACACTGGCTCCCGAAATTAAACGCCTTTCTGGCGTGAACATTCTCCCCCCCTTGCAATATACCCCCTTATTATATAATAAAATTTAATAAAAAAACTAAAAATTTTTATTATTATAATATAAAATAAATAATTATTAATAGTATAATAAAACTAATAATTAATATTATATATTAATAAATTTAAATAATCACTAAACCTGGATATTACCCCCTTATTATATAATAAAATTTAATAAAAAAAACTAAAAATTTTTATTATTATAATATAAAATAAATAATTATTAATAGTATAATAAAACTAATAATTAATATTATATATTAATAAATTTAAATAATCACTAAACCTGGATAATACCCCCTTATTATATAGTAAAATTTAATAAAAAAAACTAAAAATTTTTATTATTATAATATAAAGTAAATAATTATTAATAGTATAATAGCATTAATAATTAATTTTATATGTTAATAAATTTAAATAATCACTAAACCTGGATATTACCCCCTTATTATATAGTAAAATTTAATAAAAAAAACTAAAAATTTTTATTATTATAATATAAAATAAATAATTATTAATAGTATAATAGCATTAATAATTAATTTTATATGTTAATAAATTTAAATAAACACTAAACCTGGATATTACCCCCCTTATTATATAGTAAAATTTAATAAAAAAAATTAAAAATTTTAATATTATAATATAAAATAAATAATTATTAATAGTATAATAATACTAATAATTAATATTATATATTAATAAATTTAAATAATCACTAAACCTGGATATTACCCCCTTATTATATAGTAAAATTTAATAAAAAATATTAAAAGTTTTAATATTATATTATAAAGTAAATAATTATTAATAGTATAATAATGCTAATAATTAGTAATGTATATTAATAAATTAAAATAATCACTAAACCTGGATAATACCCCCCTATTATATAGTAAAATTTAATAAAAAAAATTAAAAATTTTAATATTATATTATAAAGTAAATAATTATTAATAGTATAATAATACTAATAATGTTAAATTTATATTATATATATATATATATATACACACATATATTAATAAATTTAAATAATAAATTAAAATTTAATATTATAAGATATTATATAAAAATAATAAAATTTTTATAAAATATAAATCAAATAAAATTAAATAATTATTAACAAAGATTATAATATTAAAAAATCTAATTTTTTTTTTTTTTTTTAATTTTTATATACTAGTTAAAAATTAATATATATCTATATATATATAAATATTTAATATATTAATATATGTTTAATGATTTAAATAAAAAATTTCGCAATCGAAAAATGTTTATATAAATAGTAAAAAAAATCTATTTTAATATATTTATCTAACATTATGTTATTTATATAAATATATAAATATTTAATAAATTATTATATATTTAAATATTAATATATGTAAAATATATAAATATTAATTTAATTATTATATATTTATATATTTATATATATAAAATAATTTATTAATATATATATATATATATAGAAAAAAAAAATTATCTAGATAAAAATTATATAATAATTAAATTTGTGCTAAAAAGTATTATTTAATTTAAATAAATCTATAAAAAAATTATGTAATTTTTTAATAAAATAACAATAAATAAAAAAAAAAAAAAAAAAAAAAAGATGAAAACTTTATTATTAATGAATTGACTGATAAAAAGGGTTACCTTTATAGGGTAAATTATGTAGTTTTCTACATTCATTGATACATTTATATGTTTATAAATATAAAGATTTTATATTTAATAGAATTAAACTATTTCTAAAAGTATCAAAAACTTTTGTGCATCATACACTAAAATATATTTATTATATACTTCATATAATTTATTAAAAAGATAAGCTAATTAAGCTACTGGGTTCATACCCCATTTATAAAGGTTATAGTCCTTTTCTTTTTAATTTTTAATAATTCATCAAAAATTTTATTTATCACAATTATAATTATTGGAACATTAATTACAGTTTCTTCTAATTCTTGGTTAGGAGCTTGAATAGGTTTAGAAATTAATTTGTTATCTTTTATCCCCCTACTTAGAGATAATAATAATTCTATATCAACAGAAGCTTCTTTAAAATATTTTTTAACCCAAGCTTTAGCATCAACTGTTTTATTGTTTTCATCAATTTTATTAATATTAAAAAATAACATAAATAATGAAATTAATGAAAGTTTTACATCTATAATTATTATATCTGCACTTTTATTAAAAAGAGGAGCTGCTCCTTTTCATTTTTGATTTCCAAATATAATAGAAGGACTAACTTGAATTAATTCATTAATTTTAATAACTTGACAAAAAATTGCTCCATTAATACTAATTTCTTATTTAAATATAAAAAATTTACTATTAATTACAGTAATTTTATCAGTTATTGTTGGAGCAATAGGTGGATTGAATCAAACATCTTTACGAAAATTAATAGCTTATTCATCAATTAATCATTTAGGATGAATATTAAGATCAATTATAATTAGAGAATCTATTTGATTAATTTATTTTTTATTTTATTCTTTTCTTTCATTTATTTTAACATTTATATTTAATATTTTTAAATTATTTCATATAAATCAATTATTTTCTTGATTTATAAATAGAAAAATTTTGAAATTTTCAATATTTATAAATTTTTTATCTTTAGGTGGATTACCTCCATTTTTAGGATTTTTACCTAAATGATTAGTAATTCAACAATTAACAATATGTAATCAATATTTTTTATTAACAGTAATGATAATATCAACTTTAATTACATTATTTTATTATTTACGAATTTGTTACTCAGCTTTTATATTAAATTATTATGAAAATAACTGAATGATGAAAATAAATATAAATAGTACTAATATAAATTTATACTTAATTATAACTTTTTTTTCAATCTTTGGATTATTTTTAATTTCTTTATTTTTTTTTATATTATAAGGCTTTAAGTTAATTAAACTAATAGCCTTCAAAGCTGTAAATATAGGATATTCCCTTTAAGCCTTAGTAAATTTTACTCCTTCAAAATTGCAGTTTGATGTCATAAACTATGACTATAAGACCAATTTTATAAATGATTAAGAAGAATAACTCTTATAAATAGATTTACAATCTATTGCCTAATCTTCAGCCACTTAATCTAATTTTATATTCGCGACAATGATTATTTTCAACAAATCATAAAGATATTGGAACTTTATATTTTATTTTTGGAGCTTGAGCAGGAATAGTTGGAACATCTCTAAGAATTTTAATTCGAGCTGAATTAGGACATCCCGGAGCTTTGATTGGAGATGATCAAATTTATAATGTTATTGTAACAGCCCATGCTTTTGTTATAATTTTTTTTATAGTTATACCAATTATAATTGGAGGATTTGGAAATTGATTAGTTCCCTTAATATTAGGAGCTCCTGATATAGCATTTCCTCGAATAAATAATATAAGATTTTGATTACTTCCTCCTGCTCTTTCACTTTTATTGGTAAGAAGAATAGTTGAAAATGGAGCTGGTACTGGATGAACAGTATATCCAACTTTATCTTCAGGAATTGCTCATGGAGGAGCTTCTGTAGATTTAGCAATTTTTTCATTACATTTAGCTGGAATTTCATCAATTTTAGGAGCTGTAAATTTTATTACAACAGTTATTAATATACGATCAACAGGAATTACTTTAGATCGAATACCTTTATTTGTATGATCAGTTGTAATTACTGCTTTATTACTTTTATTGTCACTACCAGTATTAGCAGGAGCAATTACAATATTATTAACTGATCGTAATTTAAATACTTCATTTTTTGACCCAGCTGGAGGAGGAGACCCTATTTTATATCAACATTTATTTTGATTTTTTGGTCATCCTGAAGTTTATATTTTAATTTTACCAGGATTTGGAATAATTTCTCATATTATTAGTCAAGAATCAGGAAAAAAGGAAACTTTTGGATCTTTAGGAATAATTTATGCAATACTTGCTATTGGATTATTAGGATTTATTGTATGAGCCCACCATATATTTACAGTAGGAATAGATGTAGATACACGAGCTTATTTTACATCAGCAACAATAATTATTGCTGTACCTACTGGAATTAAAATTTTTAGATGATTAGCAACTCTTCATGGAACTCAATTATCTTATTCACCAGCTGTTTTATGAGCTTTAGGATTTGTTTTTTTATTTACTGTTGGAGGATTAACAGGAGTAGTTTTAGCTAATTCATCTGTTGATATTATTCTTCATGATACTTACTATGTTGTAGCTCATTTTCATTATGTTTTATCTATAGGAGCAGTATTTGCTATTATGGCTGGATTTATTCACTGATATCCATTATTTACTGGATTAACATTAAACTCTAAATGATTAAAAAGTCAATTTATTATTATATTTATTGGAGTAAATTTAACATTTTTTCCTCAACCTTTTTTAGGATTAGCTGGTATACCTCGACGTTATTCAGATTATCCAGATGCTTACACAACTTGAAATGTTGTGTCAACTATTGGATCTACAATTTCTTTATTAGGTATTTTATTTTTTTCTATATTATTTGAGAAAGTTTAGTATCACAACGACAAGTAATTTATCCAATTCAATTAAATTCTTCAATTGAATGATATCAAAACACTCCACCAGCTGAACATAGTTATTCTGAATTACCACTTTTAACTAATTAATTTCTAATATGGCAGATTAGTGCAATGGATTTAAGCTCCATATATAAAGTATTTTACTTTTATTAGAAAATTAATGTCTACATGAGCTAATTTAGGTTTACAAGATAGAGCTTCTCCTTTAATAGAACAATTAATTTTTTTTTCACGATCATGCATTATTAATTTTAGTAATAATTACAATTTTAGTAGGATATTTAATATTTACACTATTTTTTAATAACTATGTAAATCGATTTCTTTTACATGGACAACTTATTGAAATAATTTGAACAATTTTACCAGCTATTATTTTATTATTTATTGCTTTACCTTCTTTACGATTATTATATTTATTAGATGAAATTAATGAACCATCAGTAACTTTAAAAAGAATTGGTCATCAATGATATTGAAGTTATGAATATTCAGATTTTAATAATATTGAATTTGACTCTTATATAATCCCTACAAATGAATTATCAACAGATGGATTTCGACTTTTAGATGTTGATAATCGAATTGTATTACCTATAAACTCTCAAATTCGAATTTTAGTAACAGCTGCTGATGTTATTCATTCATGAACAATTCCTGCTTTAGGTGTTAAAGTAGATGGAACTCCTGGTCGTTTAAATCAAACAAATTTTTTTATTAATCGTCCAGGATTATTTTTCGGACAATGTTCAGAAATTTGTGGAGCTAATCATAGTTTTATACCAATTGTAATTGAAAGAGTTCCTGTAAATTATTTTATTAAATGAATTTCTAGAAATAATTCTTCATTAGATGACTGAAAGCAAGTACTGGTCTCTTAAACCACACTATAGTAAATTAGCACTTACTTCTAATGAAAAAAAAAATTAGTTAAACTTATAACATTAGTATGTCAAACTAAAATTATTAAAATATTAATATTTTTTAATTCCACAAATAGCCCCTATTAGATGATTATTATTATTTATTATTTTTTCTATTACATTTATTTTATTCTGCTCAATTAATTATTATTCTTATATACCTTCTTCACCTAAATCTAATGAATTAAAAAATATTAATTTAAATTCAATAAATTGAAAATGATAACAAATTTATTTTCTGTTTTTGACCCTTCAGCAATTTTCAATTTATCATTAAATTGATTAAGAACATTTTTAGGACTTTTAATAATTCCATCAATTTATTGATTAATGCCTTCTCGTTATAATATTTTTTGAAATTCTATTTTATTAACTCTTCATAAAGAATTCAAAACTTTATTAGGTCCTTCAGGACATAATGGATCTACTTTTATTTTTATTTCATTATTTTCATTAATTTTATTTAATAATTTTATAGGATTATTTCCATATTTTTTACAAGAACAAGTCACTTAACTTTAACATTATCATTAGCATTACCACTATGATTATGTTTCATATTATATGGATGAATCAATCATACACAACATATATTCGCTCACTTAGTACCTCAAGGAACACCTGCTGTTTTAATACCTTTTATAGTATGTATTGAAACAATTAGAAATATTATTCGACCAGGAACTTTAGCTGTTCGATTAACAGCTAATATAATTGCAGGACATTTATTATTGACACTATTAGGTAATACAGGACCATCAATATCATATATATTAGTAACATTTTTATTGGTTGGACAAATTGCTTTATTAGTTCTTGAATCTGCTGTAGATATAATTCAATCTTATGTATTTGCAGTATTAAGAACATTATATTCTAGAGAAGTAAATTAATGTCTACACACTCAAATCACCCTTTCCATTTAGTTGATTATAGACCATGACCTCTAACAGGAGCAATTGGAGCTATAACAACTGTATCAGGTATAGTAAAATGATTTCATCAATATGATATCTCATTATTTTTTTTAGGTAATATTATTACAATTTTAACTGTATATCAATGATGACGAGACGTGTCTCGAGAAGGAACATATCAAGGATTGCATACCTATGCAGTAACTATTGGATTACGTTGAGGAATAATTTTATTTATTTTATCAGAAGTATTATTTTTTGTAAGATTTTTTTGAGCATTTTTTCATAGAAGTCTTTCCCCAGCTATTGAATTAGGTGCTTCATGACCTCCAATAGGAATTATTTCTTTTAATCCATTTCAAATTCCTCTATTAAATACTGCTATTTTATTAGCTTCTGGAGTTACAGTAACATGAGCTCATCATAGATTAATAGAAAATAATCATTCTCAAACTACTCAAGGTTTATTTTTTACTGTTATTTTAGGAATTTATTTTACTATTCTACAAGCTTATGAATATATTGAAGCCCCATTTACTATTGCAGATTCTGTTTATGGTTCTACTTTTTTTATAGCTACAGGATTTCATGGAATTCATGTATTAATTGGAACAACTTTTTTATTAGTTTGTTTACTACGACATTTAAATAATCATTTTTCAAAAAATCATCATTTTGGATTTGAAGCAGCTGCATGATATTGACACTTTGTAGATGTAGTTTGATTATTTTTATATATTACAATCTACTGATGAGGTGGATAATTAATTACTAATTAATATTTATATAGTATAAAAGTATATTTGACTTCCAATCATAAGGTCTATTAATAAATAGTATAAATAATTTTTTCAATTATTTTAATTGGTTCTTTAATTTTAATAATTACAACAATTTGTAGCAGGCCAGTTGATGTTATTATGATCTGGTCACACGATTGTTGGGCTACGCTCTCTGAGAGAGCAGGTTACTCTCTCTCTCAGAGAGCGCTGCTTATGAATTTCGGGGGTTGAAAGGCACGCGGCCTGAGAGTGAGAGATCACTGTTTTTGGAGAAGTTAAAAAGAGAAGACGTCGTTGGTGAACAAAAAGACAAGAAAGAAACGTGTAAAATAATATAAGCAACATATAATACTATAATATAAGAATAAATAAAAGAGATTAATTAAAATAACATACGGCCACAAATTGTAATATTTTTAGCTTCAATTCTTTCTAAAAAAGCTTTAATTGACCGAGAAAAAAGATCACCATTTGAATGTGGATTTGATCCAAAATCATCTTCTCGTTTACCATTTTCTTTACGATTTTTATACCCTTGCAGGGTATTATAATTTCAGTCAGAAGTTTGCAACGCAGTGAAGGAGACCTTTCCGACCCTATAAAGTATATATATTCTTGATCAGTATCAACAGCCGAGTCGATCTAGCTATGTCCGTCTGTCCGTCTGTCCGTCTGTCCGTCTGTCCTTCTGTCCGTCCGTCCGTCCGTCCGTCCGTCCGTCCGTCTGTCCGTTTCTACGCAAACTAGTCCCTCAGTTTTAAAGCTATCTGAATGAAACTTTGCATATAGTCTTCTATATGCTCTCACTGCTATATATGTCGGAACGGGCCGGATCGGACGACTATATCATATAGCTGCCATACAAATGTTCGATATATTTGTAGAAAAAAATTTATAACTTTGCTGTTTTTCAACATTTTTGCACCATTTTTTAGATTTGGCCATTCTATATTATTTCAGAATTTTGGTAAAAATTTTATCAAAATCGGACGACTATATGATATAGCTGCCATAGGAACGGTCGAGAAATAAATAGGAAAAAAATTATAGTTTCGTTGTTTTTCAACGTATGTTTATCTACTCTGAGATATAATCTTTTTTTATTATTCTAGAATTATGGTATAAATTTCATAAAAATCGGACAACTATATCATATAGCTGCCATATAAACCGATCGGTAGATGTAGAGAAAATGTAAAACTGGGAATGTAAAACTGTAACTGTCAAACTGTAAACATAATAAGTATGGGTAAAATGTAATGAAACATCGAAACCAATCTGCAAGGGTATACAAACTTCGGCGTGCCGAAGTTAGCTTCCTTTCTTGTTTTTAATTACTATTATTTTTTTAATTTTTGATGTAGAAATTGCTTTAATTCTACCTATAATTATTATTTTAAAGTATTCTAATATTTTAATTTGAACAATTACTTCAATTATTTTTATTTTAATCTTATTGATTGGTTTATATCATGAATGAAATCAAGGAATATTAAATTGATCAAACTAATAGGGTTGTAGTTAATTATAACATTTGATTTGCATTTAAAAAGTATTGAATATTCAATCTACCTTATTAAAGAATATGAAGCGATAAATTGCAGTTAGTTTCGACCTAACCGTAGGTAATTTTACCCTTATTCTTTAATTGAAGCCAAAATAGAGGCGTATCACTGTTAATGATATAAGTAGGCTATAGCCTCAATTAAGGAAGTATGGTGATCAAGTAAAAGCTGCAAACTTTTTTCTTTTAATGGTTAAATTCCATTTATACTTCTATTTATATAGTTTAAATAAAACTTTACATTTTCATTGTAAAAATAAAAATCTTTTTTTTATAAATTACTAAATTTAATTCATTATATTCAAAGATTATAACAATCTCCATAACATCTTCAGTGTCATACTCTAAATATAAGCTATTTGAATATAAAAATAATAAAAAATTAAATAAAATTAAAATTCAAAATACAAATAATATTAAATAAATTTTTAAACTATTATTATGTATTAAAAATAAAGTTTGAGAATAATTTACTAATTTTTGATATAAATGTTGACCACCAAAATATTCTGATGAACCTTGATCAAATCTTTTAACAATTAATTGACCATAATTTAACGGATAAAAAATTATTCCATAAGTTCTAATATAAGGTATAAATCACATAGATCCTAAAAATAAAGAAATATTATAATTTAATAAAGACTTATTTAAAAAATAAATTTTTGTTATAGAAATTAAATAACCAAATATTCCTCCTGAAATACAAACAAATAAAGTTAATAATTTTATATATAAAGGTAAACAAATTATATAAGGAATTGGAAAAATTAATCAATTTAATATTCTCCCACCAATAATTCTTATAATTAATAAACCTAATATCCCACGTAATATCACTCAACTTTCGTCATTTAATATATTTAAGCTTCCACAATTTAATTCTCCTGTTATAGAATAATAAACTAAACGAAAAGAATATATAACAGTCAATCCAGTTGAAAAAAAATATAAAAAGAAAGAAAATAAATTAATATTTCTAATTATAACAATTTCTAAAATTATATCTTTTGAATAAAAACCAGCTAAAAAAGGCATTCCACATAAAGCTAAATTAGATACATTAAAACAAGCTGAAGTTAAAGGTATATGAATACTTAATCCTCCTATTAATCGAATATCTTGAGAATTATTTATATTGTGAATAATAGCTCCAGCACATATAAATAATAAAGCTTTAAATAAAGCATGAGTTAATAAATGAAATATTGCTAATTTATAAAACCCTATAGATAAAATTCTTATTATTAAACCTAATTGACTTAAAGTTGATAAAGCAATAATTTTTTTTAAATCAAATTCAAAATTAGCTCCTAATCCAGCTATAAATATAGTCAACCCAGACAATAATAATAATAATTGACCTAATCAAGAAGTTCTTAAAATAATATTAAATCGAATTAATAAATAAACACCAGCTGTTACTAAAGTTGATGAATGAACTAAAGCAGAAACAGGAGTTGGAGCTGCTATAGCTGCTGGTAATCAAGATGAAAATGGAATTTGAGCTCTTTTAGTTATAGCTGCTAATATTACTAATCTTCCAATAATTAATATTTCAAATTCATTTTGCATAACTTCTAAATAAAAAATATAATTTCATCTTCCATAATTTAATATTCAAGCGATAGCTAATAAAAAAGCAACATCTCCAATTCGATTAGATAAAGCAGTTAATATACCAGCATTATAAGATTTTACATTTTGAAAATAAATTACTAAACAATAAGAAACTAATCCTAAACCATCCCATCCTAATAAAATACTAATTAAATTAGGACTAATAATTAATAATATTATTGATAAAACAAATATTAATACTAATATAATGAATCGATTAATATTTTCATCTCTTTCTATATATTCTTTACTATAAAAAATAACTAAAGAAGCAATTATTAAAACAAAAGATATAAATAATAAACTTATTCAATCAAATAAAAAAGTCATTACAATTCTTATAGAATTTAATGAAACTACTTCTCATTCAATAAAATAAACTATATTATTTAATAAAAAATATAAACTTAATAAAAAACAAGACAAACTAATAGAAATTAAATTAATAAATCTAATTCTACAAATTGATAAATATTTCACGATCTAAAATGAACTATTTCATATCACTAACACCACAAATTAGTATTTTTTTTAAACTATTTAAATATAACATTAATATACAAGCATCAGATTTTAAAATTAATAAATTTAAAGGTAATCAATGTAATAATATTAATAAATATTCACGAATTTTACCTCCTCTAAAAGAATAAACTCCCGAAAATAATTTTCCATGTTGACTAAATGAATATAGATATAAAGTATATGCAGCTCTAAAAAAAGACAATAAAGATAATATAATTATAGAAACTCATGATCAAGATACAATTCTATTTAATAAAGAAATTTCACCCAATAAATTTAATGTAGGAGGAGCTGCTATATTAGCTGAACTTAGTAAAAATCATCATAAAGTTATAGCAGGTATAAAATTTAATAACCCCTTATTAATTAATAAACTTCGTCTTCCTAATCGTTCATAAGATACATTTGCTAAACAAAATAACCCTGATGAACACAATCCATGAGCAATTATTAAAGTATAAGAACCACATAATCCCCAATAAGTTATAGTTAATAATCCAGCTAAAACAATTCCTATATGAGCAACTGAAGAATAGGCAATTAAAGATTTTAAATCAGTTTGACGTAAACAAACTAAACTTACTGAAACACCTCCAACTAATCTAATTCTAATTCAAACAAATCTATATTTTAAATTTATTAGTTGAAGAAATGAAATAACTCGTAATAATCCATATCCTCCTAATTTTAATATAATTCCAGCTAAAATTATAGAACCAGAAACAGGAGCTTCTACATGAGCCTTAGGTAATCATAAATGAACTAAAAATATTGGTATTTCTACTAAAAAAGCACATAATAAACAAAAATACAATAAATCATAATTAAATATAAAATTATTTATTAAATAAAAATTTATTGATCCAGTTTTATATATTAAATAAAAAATTCCAATTAATATAGGTAAAGAAACCAATAAAGTATAAAATAATAAATATACTCCAGCTTGTAAACGTTCAGGTTGATAACCTCACCCTAAAATTAAAAATAATGTAGGAATTAATCTACTTTCAAAAAATAAATAAAATATAAACAATCTTATTCTTCTAAAAGTTAAAACTAATAACAATAATAAAATAACAATATTTAATAAAAATAAATTTTTATAATTATTATATTTATTAACACTTTCTCTAGCTAAAAGTATAAGAGAACAAATTCACAAACTCAATAATACTAATCCATAAGAAAGTATATCACATCCTAAAAAATAAGAAATTTCAGATCAATAATTTATAAAATTATTTATTAATAAAAAAATAAATCTAATAAAAAATAATATAATTTGTACCATTCAATATATATTATTAATAAAACAAATAGGTAATAAAAATAATAAAAAAAAATAATTTTTAACATTATATAATTCTAAAAGATTGAAAATAATCATTACCATGTGTACGAATTATAGATACTAAAATTGATAAGCCTAAAGCTCCTTCACATACTCTAAATGTTAAAAATATTATTCTAAAATAAGTTTCATAATTTAATATATTTAAATAAATAAATAATATGAAAAATAATATTAAAACAATAAATTCTAAACTTAAAAGTATTGAAAGTAAATGTTTTCGATTAGAAACAAAACAAAATAAACCTAAAATAAATAAAATTATAGGTAAACTTCAATATAAAATTATAATCATTAGTTTTAATAGTTTAATAAAAACATTGGTCTTGTAAATCAAAAATAAGAATTTTTCTTTTAAAACTTCAAGAGAAAAGAAATTTCTTTTTCATTAATCCCCAAAATTAATATTTTAAATAAACTACCTCTTGAAATTATTCAATTAATATTATATTCATTAATTTTAACAACATCAATTATTTTTTAAATATAATTCATCCATTAGCTATAGGGTTAACACTATTAATCCAAACAATTTTTATTTGTTTAATTTCAGGATTAATAACTGTTCACGCCAGGAGGCCCCCTGTTCCCCCTCTGCCCACCGAGCGTCCAAAAGCTCAAGCGCTTCCAGCTTAGCAACGCTCACCCGCTCTCCACTCCTCGGTATTCCCGATCGCACGCTCCCGTGTTCCCGATCGCACGCTCCCGTGCTCCCGATCGTCGCTCGCTTCTAGGCTACGCCGCTCTAATTCACGGTTCTCCCGCTCTTCCGCTCTCGCGCCGTTAAGCTGGGCTTCTCGGCCGGCAGCGGGCCCTTAGGCTAAGCTAAGTTTAGTACCGAATCGACTGCGACAATATATGTATGCTACGGGCACTCCGCCGACGTCATTTTTCGACCCCCGAATTTCTGGACTTTTTTTCTACGTTTTGCTACTTCGTGGGATAAACTTTTATTGATCCTTTTGCGGAGGATTTAGCAGCCACCCCACTCCTAAACATGGTCCTTCGAGCCGGATAAGGATATCGTCCTGGAATCCTTTTTTCCCAGCAGCTTTGGTGGTGCCGCCGCAGAAAAAGATAAGTAAAAAGTTTCCGCCCGTCTCTAATTGCCGGTCGTCAACAGTTGTCCGAAATTTAAATTTCGCTCAACCTGCGGACGATTTTTTTGTCAACTCCTCGTCCGAGTTTTCCGACACCACGGCAATTAGACAGCTTAAAAAATCATTTCCAAAGCTAATTTTCTCCACTTCCATTTGCCTGCATTTCGTTCTGCAACGGCATAATTATCTCCGTTTTTTCTTCCACTTCTTCGGCCCGTTGTACATTTCTCCGTACATATGTACATACATACGTCCCTATATTCGGCCGTACATCAACGACTAAAACGGTCTTGATATACGCACATACATATGTACATATGTAAATCGGCGCGCATTACTCCGCGAGTTGGTTGGTCATTTACTTAGAGTGGTAATTGACATCCGCAACCTTCAGCCGACCAATATATTAAAAAGGATAATATAATAAGTGAACGTGTGTTTCAAGTCGAGCGCCGCGGCAGTGAAAATTCTACAGTGAATATTTCGTGTTGCCGAATTCGGCCCCCTACCCGAGATTTCATTCTCATATGTATAATGCGGTCACTGTGTGTTTCTCGCCGCCTCGATATTTTCTTGAACACAATTCCTTCAACTTCAAATAATACAGTCCACTTCTCGACGCTCTACTGTACTTATGCCAATATATAAATATATTTTCGGCCTCCAATATTTTTTGTACGCCCTCACAACTCCAGTCCAGTTCTCGGGTTTCCACTGTACAAAATATATTTTCTGCCTTCAATATTTTTTGTACGCCCTCAGCAGTTCCGTTATCGGGTTTCCACTGTACAAAATATATTTTCTGCCTTCAATATTTTTTGTACGCCCTCAGCAGTTCCGTTATCGGGTTTCCACTGTACAAAATAAAGACAACTTTTCCATACATATTTGCATGCTCATACAATTACATACGTATTTAAATTTTCTGCCTTACATACAGGAATTAAATAACCATCAAACAATAACAAAAATAACCAAGATTTTGTCTCCACATCCACACAACCGCCGCAGCAGATGTGTTGTTCTTGTTGTTGTTCCTCGAGTTCCGTTTTGGTCTCTCTCCTGAGCTCTTCACTTAGGCTGTGTTTTGCCGACGGCTTTTCTTAAACCAAACTTCTATTTATGGTTGTTTTCGGACCCCCCGCACTAACCGCCGCATCAGCCGTGCTGTTGTTGTTGTTTCGGTTTCTGTGCCTTTCGTCTCTCATAGGCGCCTCACTTATGCACTGCTTGGCCGACGGCATAGCCCAGTGAGTTTCCCCGAGTCAAGGCCAAGGTTTATATTTTAATTCCGCCTTTCCGGCTCCGTAATAATTACGTGCAAGTCCTTAAATAATTCACATTAATTATTTCCGACATTAATTACACAGGTACACAGGCAAAATTTTCCACGAACCATTTCAAGTTTTCCATGATATTTGGGTGCTCCTGAGTAAAAGTCCCATACAAAATTATTTTCCATCACCTACAGGTTCCGCGGTATACCTAAGAATACAAAAAACCTATGTTTGCCGACATTTTGAATTACGTGGCCTATATAATTGGACTTACCTTTAGTATTTTTGGTAGGACCTACTCTCAATACATCACGGCACTACTAAAAAATAGTCCCAATCGTGAACCATTGCCCATGTCTTTGGAATTCGACGCCAAAGTTGAAACTCCCAAAATTTTCAACATTTCTGTGATGAAAAAACAATTCTGAGAATTAAATCTTATATGGAACTAATTTTAAATATTCATTGAATCTATTGTTCATTGTATTCTTTAATTTCGGTTTAAAGCGTTTTTCATGAGGACATTTTATTGGATTTATTAAACGAATAAAACCGATTTTTTGGTTTTATTATCTACTACTATTTGCTGTCAAATTTCAAATAAGTCAAGGCAACCTATAAAATAGTAGTAGATATGTTTCTTTTTATATATATAATATACATTTTTTTCTTTTTGACTAAACTTAAATATGTAAGGATTATCGCTGGCTTCTAAGCTGTCTTAAAAATGTTATGTTCGGAAGACCTTTTTATTTAATATAAAACTAAATTTATATTATATATAAAAAGAAACATATCTACTACTATTTTATAGGTTGCCTTGACTTATTTGAAATTTGACAGCAAATAGGAGTAGATAATAAAACCAAAAAAGCTGTTTTATTCGTTTAATAAATCCAATAAAATGTCCTCATGAAAACGCTTTAAACCGAAATTAAAGAATACAATGAACAATAGATTCAATGAATATTTAAAATTAGTTCCATATAAGATTTAATTCTCAGAATTGTTTTTTCATCACAGAAATGTTGAAAATTTTGGGAGTTTCAACTTTGGCGTCGAATTCCAAAGACATGGGCAATGGTTCACGATTGGGACTATTTTTTAGTAGTGCCGTGATGTATTGAGAGTAGGTCCTACCAAAAATACTAAAGGTAAGTCCAATTATAAAGGCCACGTAATTCAAAA